ACAATTACGCCCTACGAGACATACTTTTGGTCAAAGAGGCCATTTCGAACACAACACATAGATTATTCATCAAGCGTCAGTTACTGCAACATGCGAAGCCAAGTTAAACGGTTTTTTCAGCAATTCGCGACTCTTAAGATCGTGCTCTCAACGTTCTAACCGCTCGCGGATACCGCGGGTACGCGAATACGGCCAAATCTTGCGCTTGATGATTAGAGGACATATCACTAGGACTTAATTTGCAAGTCTGTCCTCGTCATCGCTTAGCAACGAGGAGTCATGACCGTTCCTCTCAGCGAATTGGAACGTACTGCTAAGATAGAAACAATAAGAACAATTTTGTGTGCACTAATATACTGGGTGTCCCAAAATAATGTGCACACTGTTTGATTTTGAGTAACTCTCTTATTATGAGGGCTTTCGAGAATCGGTAAGAGCCATTTTGTAGAGCTGGCTTCAACTTAGATTTGCAATATAGAGCGAATTATCAACCGCTCTTCATTACTGTAGGACTACGATAGAAACTTGGAACATATGGTGTCACTGTGGAAAAAGCTGCCGTTTCAAAAATTTTCAAAAAGATGTAAAAACTTGTGTAATAGGGTTTTTAGAGACGCTGAGTTCAATACTCAACTACTCACAAGACTGCGAAGCTTTCTAAATGGTGTAACCGCACCTTTTAGGAACATTGAGAAAGTGGCCGCTACTGCTTACCTCGCATAACTCTTCAGTGAAGCATCATAATAAGTTGGTAACTTTACAGTGAGAATCAGCAGCTCTAATTGGTCTAGTGTAAAAGTCCTCAGGCTGTTTTGATTCCTTTCTGAGGCAAAATGTTGCCTTTCATGGCCCAAAACCTTCTTTCAAGTTTCTACCGTAACCCTACAGTAATGAAGAGCGGTTGGTGATTTGCTCTATACTATAAATCTAAGTTGAAGCCAGCTCTACAAAATGGCGCTTACCGCTTCTCGAAAGCCCTCATAATTAGAGAGTTATTCAAAATCAAACAGTGTGCACATTATTTTGGGACACCCTGTATTAGTGATGTACGTTGGATTATTCTCTGCGATAAATTCTACCCTAGATACGCTCAATTTCCCCTTGATTCAACGAGATTAGCGGCTGAAAGGCGGGGCTTCGAGGCGGAATCAAACCTAGACAATGATCAGAGAGCACAACCGCGAAAGAGACGCAGACTGTGTCGCGGGCGCGAGTGATCGCCCATCAGCCGCCAATCCCTATGAACTAGAGGGTGAGTACACGTTCCTAAATTGGCTGGTCTCACTTTATGATTTATGATTTATGATTTATTTGCTTTTCATATTTTTACAATATGCGGCACCCAAACAAACTGATCCATTCTTTTAACGTGAGTGATCTTACTCTTTGCCAATTGCAAATGCCAAGCTTCTTCTGAAACTCGTCTCTCCATCTCGTTGGGGCCAGTATATCGAGTCGTGTTCTCTTCAAGGCTTCTTGCAGTTCATGTAGTTGGACTTCGTTTGGCAGGCGTTCACGTTGAATGTTTTGCGTATTAAGTCGTTGTTGGGATGGAACATACTTGATCCTGCTGTTCCGGGGCTTCCTGGATCAAGGGGTTCGACGTCCGGTAGGGTGGGGAAGAGCGGTCAAAATGACCGGCCAGTCGAGGGACGTGTAGAAGATGAACTCCCGGTCTCACTTTAACCACCACATAACTCCTCAAAGGAAGACGTTCCATCAATAATGAAGTTAGACTCGTATATATCGCATTACGCCACATCTGCTCTTACACATCGATTCAAAACTACTTCGTCCAAAACTTCACTTCAACAGATTTGTCTTTGCGTTGCTGTTCTTGATTATGGTGTTGGGACAAATGTATTCCAGAATGTTTTCCAACGAAAATTACAGGTAAAGAGAAAAATAGTCGGATATTCTGTCCACGGGTAGGGGACTATGGCTGCGTTCATGCTGATCCCAAAGTTCGGGAACAGTTCCAGCACAGCGCTCGAAGTGAGCGTTGTGCTGAGACTGTTCCCGAATTACGAAATCAGTATGAACGCAGCCTATATGTCGCCGATAGGCTCCACCCTTCGCGGCCAGATGATACAAATCTGTAATGCCCGTAGCATGTGGAGTTGCGCGCTTTGTCGCAGATGTCTGCGCTGGACCACCTTTTTTCGGCGACATATAGTCCTCCACCCTCTGTCCACCTATATAATCGGCATTTGCCTGCAGCCGACGCATGGTACGAGACATGAAATGCGCCTAGAAGGACAATCCGTTCCGCACATTGTTGTCGCCACTTGCACATATACCAACAGTTTTTAATGCTGCTGTAGTACAAAGTACTTTATGCTGTTTTTCGAGTATGTGATCTTGAAAAGATTTGCCGCAGCGAAGAAGCTGCACAAGGGAGGTTTATGAAATGCTTGAAATAGATGACAAATCAACTTTTTATGAAACTGGCTATCTCCAACACTGCAGCACATGTTCAAATTTATTAAAACTTTACAATGTGTTTCTAGCTTCAAAGTTCGTCTTTTTATGTTTGCGAAGGCTCATGTAGATCCGGACTTGTACATTAATATACAGGGTGTCCCAAAAAAATGTGCCCACTGTTTGATTGTAAATAACTCTCTTGTAAGAGATTGTTTCGAAAAGCCTTAAGCACCGTTTTGTAGAGCGAGCTTAAACTTACAAGGGAAGGATACCAACATTAGTCGGCGATTGTAGATGAGATGTATATTATTAGACGCGCCTTTGAATGCTGATTCCAAATCTGCTTTCCTTTTTTGCGGAACAAGTTTCCAAAAGAAGTTGTGGGCGTCCAAAAGTCCAAATTTGTAGAGATTTAGGTGGCCTAAAATTGGCGGAATGCTGTGAAAAAACACCAGAAAGTGGAAAATGATTTTTGTATCGAGTATATTGTTTGCAAGGAAGGAACAAAGCCGGTGAAATTCGCATACGTATTGTTTTAGAGCTTTGCGCTGATTATAAGCCACTCAATGCGTGGCAAATCTGGACATTCAAAAGCTCGTAACTTCTTTCGGAAACATGTTCCGCAAAAAAGGAAAGTAGATTTGGAATCAGCGTTTAAAGGCGCATGATATACATCTCACCTTCAATTGCCAACTAATGTTCGTACCCTTCCCTTGTTAGATTTGCAGTTTGGAGCGAATCATCTATCGCTCTTCATCACTGTACGATTACTATAGGAACTTCGACAAGGATTTTAGGCTTTTGGAGGCTATACCCTGCCTCGGAACGAAACCAAACAAACCGAAAACTCTTGCACTACGGTAATGGGAGCCGCTGATTTCGAATTTGAAATTCCCATTTTGCTGTGATGCTTCTTTCCTAAGTTATCCCCAGTAAATCGTAGTAGCTCGATTTCCAGCATTTGTCAGAAATGTAATTACACCGTCAAAAAAGTTGAAAACACTCGTAAAAAGTTGTTAGGTGGAATCGGCATGCGCGAAAACCCTAGTACACGATTTTTTAGATTTTTTGAGAAAAAAAAATTTGTTAGGTGGTACATTTCACATTGGTCATATGCTGGAAGTTCGTACCGTAATCCTACAGTAATGAAGAGCGGTAGGTGATTCGCTCCATACCGCCGTTATGACACGCAAATACAGGTCTTTCATATTCTAGAAGAAGCGTTGAAGCCTATTTTAGATCGCTAAATTGCTTTTCTGAGCCAGAGCAAGGAGTACGGACGTTATCTGGTACTTAGCAAGACCAGGATCTTCATCTGATAGAAAGAAAATTTTGTCTACGATTTTCAGATTATTTCTAGTATATCAGCTTCGAGCTTTGCTAAAAGCATCTGTTCTCTTCCAAACTTCTAAAAATCTTTCACATCGCGTGATGGTCTTGCGAAAGATCCTTCTAGGCTCCGTCTCTTCGTAGCAAACTACGTGAAATGATTTGAAAAAGCAGGTTTTCTGCTCCCAAGTTGACCAAAGAGAAAATCCCTATGCTTCAAAGCAACGTCAACCCTATATTGAGGGTTTGGGCTTATGGCAGCATATGATACTGGGACCCCCTATCAAGCCGGTGCCCAAGTCGCAGCGCAAAATGTTGTTTTGAAAGCGAGAAAATCGCTCCGAAATAACAAAGATGCACGAGGACCCCCAGACGGCACCGCCCTCTCCATCCATTCCCGCCCACCCGTGCGCGCCCATCCAAACCGTCCGAAAAGCAAGCCTGTGGGTTCTCCCAAACAGGGATTGTTGGGGGTTTTCGCGGATTCTCAACTTCATAATCGGAATGATGGACATAAGAAAGCCTCGGAACGACCAAAACATGGAAGTTGAGAATCTGGATGGACGGCGCCTTTAACAAATTCGCGACAATGCGACCCACCGATGGGTCGTAAGATTTCTGAGGCTCTAACTTTGCCAGTGTGCGATGGAATTCTACGGGATTGGCACACGATTGGTGACACTTTGGCGAAGCTCTAGCCGGAGTGGTCCGAGTTCGGGATCCTGTAATGTAATGTTACGGTAGGTATACTGTAGATAGAGGTAAGGCACAGACTTTAGCTCAAATTTCGCAGAGTGGTGCTGTTTTTGACAGTTCAAGTTTACATGCACGAGAAATACAGGGAGAGCACGGGACTGATGTCAGCCCTTGAAAAATTATCGATTTTATTGATTTTATTGATTTTTCGCATTGTTCATATCAAGAAGCTCTTGCATATATAGGTTTTTTAGTATGCTGATTACGAAAATGATAGTCTCAAATTCTAATACCGCACATTGATGAAATCATTATCGTGGAAGCTCTTCACTCGCTTTCTTACCTGTATCCTTTCAAGATTTTTGACAAACCAATGATGATATGGAAGATGTCTCACCAGCGTTGTGTAATGACTGTGACCGTATGACTATTAACAAACGAGTTTCCATGTGTTTTTTCTTCAATTGTTAGAGAGTAGGTTTTGCCAAAGTTGCATATGTAAAGCTTCCCATGTGCGCTCTTAGAAGATAAAGAGCAGTTACATGTAAAAGCAGTTTGAGTTTATTAATGCAATTTCGCATTAACATAGAAACAACAATTGCAGAAGCAATTTTCAAGCTTAGCGAGCACGTCCCCACCAAGTTCTTGTCGTAAGTGGTGGTCGAGGGAAGTGATACGGTGCAGCAAATGGATTCTGTTCTACAATCCATGGATTCTGTTCCGGCGGAGGGAAAAATGCACCAGGTGGAGGAATCCTGATAGGAGGGGGTCTGTTTCCCCTATTCAAAGCCTGCACGAAGAAAACAAGCGGTGCCTGAAAATGTCACGAATCAATTACGAAGACTAGCGAGTAACAACATGAACTTGTACCATGAGAACGAGTTTCGAAAACATCGTCGTTACTAGTGCTTCGCGGTTACTTTATGCTGAAAAGTGCCACTGCGTTTGATACAGACATAATAATAAGCTTAGCGTAAACACTCAAGAATGGCAGATAACAGAGTGAAATTTAACAAACAAATCCGATGTATGTGTAGTAAGGTTTCTAGTGCGGTTTGTAAAGGTAGCAACAACACTGATGGCCCAAAAAGGCTCTAAATGCTACGTAAAATTAGGCTAGTACATTAACGCTACCAGGCTGTTATGTAATAAACGCTATCACGCTACATTAAAGCTTTCTCACTTGCTAAAATGTATAAAAAAGCAATTCAAATGTGAAATTTGCATATAGCAATGTTCTTCTGTTTTTTACAGTCGCTTACCATCTCTCTATGTATCCTTGTTCGAGTTTGGTCTGAAAGCTTGGTAAACCCAAATGGCTTTCAATTGGTTTTCGTACTGCATTTGCATAATGCCCATCTAAAAATAACCATGGTTATTTTATCGCAGTTAGTGTTATGCTATCACTTTAGTGAATGCAAAAAATAAGATAACAGTAAAATAAACTGCAATAGTAGATTCTTAGTTGGGCTTTGCACTGAATGGAGAAATGATAATTTTAATGATCGATACCTATGCAAAATACAGTAGCAAATTCAGCGTCGATCGGCGATAATGGCTCTGGAAATCACCAATATCGACGGCTAGGCTAGCTATTTTCAATTGTTGTCGACGGGGAGGGGTGGCACATGGGGGGGGGGGGAAGGGGAAGGGCATTGTGCTTTCCGAAGTAGTGTGGTCTGCCTCAAGCAGAAAGATCAAACAGAAACTTATTGTTAATATCGTTATCTCTTGGATTCCCAAATTTTTAATTTATATCTGACCGCCTTCAACAGACACACAACAGATTCTCTATAGCATAAGTAGCAATGGTATTGAGAACAAAATAACAAAACACGAAACGGTTACAAAATATTGGGCCACTACATAAGTAATCCTAGCAAAGGGATTCGACTAGAATGCTTGATTAGAACGGGTAACAAGACTGAGTTTAGTGGTTGGATTTCTTAAGATTTTGAATTTCGGTTGATTTGTAGCTATTACTTGCTTTTGCTACGTCTTCTTTGAAACGTGTTCCGAAAAGATAGTTTTTTATTTGATTCAGCCAAGTTCTTCTGGAGACTAAAAAAAATTTTATACTTTCGTTTTTATGACTATCTCCAAATTTTCTCAAATTCAATCTACAACAAGGACCGCGCATATACTAGGTGGAAAATTTTGAATACATGCATAATGTTAATCATAGAACTAACGTAGAATAGTATAGTGCTTGTATACCAAAACACGATGTCCACAGAATTTGAGCTATGATGAACTCGACAAAAACTTAGCTGTGGCCTTCCTGTGGCGTATAAGAATTGTGAGAATGAAGCAACTGCAACATTTTATATAGGGAGTGTAGCACATCAAGAAGAATGCTCCCAAATTGCTCTTACCCATTGCTGCAAAACTTTGGCAAATTCGGAAAAGGGAAACTTCTTGCATTTATCAAGATATCAAAAAAGAGTGGGCACTCCGACTTGTCGCTGTATTTTTGCAGGGAAATTGTAGTTTTTTTTTCTGACTACACATTGTATGACGGTATCTGCATGGGAGATCATTCTTACAATGCATGTGGCGCGTTGGCCCTGGTCTCTCAAAGTGGAGCTCCCTCAATTACGAGCTTTTCATCCTCCCCGGCCTTCTGAATGCGCTGAGTCCAGGGCTGTGCTTAAAGAGTCGAAAAAGTGCTTTTCATGGCGCCCGGTCCGGGAGATTGCTGGAGGGTAGGGCGAGCGATCGCCCACAAAGTCGCGATTGGTTCTCGCCCTCAACCTCATTGCCTGAGCCGATCAGCCAGTTGCCGCCAAAATGGGTGAGTTGCAGCATCCTGCAACCAGTCGTCGTTTTTGGCGGGAATCCGTCGCCCAGATCCCTCAGGACAGATCTCCGAGGTCGGATATGGCAAAAATTTTTTTGACTTTTCACACAGTTTAGAACTCAGCAAATCCAGAAGGTCATGTCAGTGCGAAAAGCTCGAACTCGCAATTTTCCCAAGCACCTGCCTCTAAAATGTAACAAAACTTATGTAGTAGCCCAATATTTTGTGACCGTTTTTGTTATCTTCTCCCTGATACCATTGAACAGCCATTGCTGTCACCTATGCTTCACAGAATCTGTTGTGTGTCCGTTGAAGGCAGTCAGATATGAAAGAAGAGAATGGGAATCCAGGAAAATTTCAATATTAAGTTTCTGCTTGAACTTTTTGCCTGAGGAAGACTACACTCTTTTAAAAAGTACGGTGCCTTCCTCCCTCCCCCCCCCCCCTCTATGCCGCTCGCCCCCGTCGACAGCAATTGAAAATAGCCAGCCGTCGATATTGGTGATTTCCAGAGCTATTATCGCCGATCGTCGCTGTTTTTGCTACTGTATTTTGCATAGGTATCGATCATTAAAATTATCATTTCTCCATTCAGTGCAAAGCCCAACTAAGAATCTACTATTGCAGTTTATTTTACTGTTATCTTATTTTTTGCATTCACTAAAGTGATAGCATAACACTAACTGCGATGAAATAACCCATGGTTATTTTTAGATGGGCATTATGCAAATGCAGTACGAAAACCAATTGAAAGCCATTTGGGTTTACCAAGCTTTCAGACCAAACTCGAACAAGGATACATAGAGAGATGGTAAGCGACTGTAAGAAACAGAAGGAGAACATTGCTAAGTATGCAAATTTCACAATTGAATTGCTTTTTTATGCATTTTAGCAAGTGAGAAAGCTCTAATGTAGCGTGATAGCGTTCATTACATAACAGCTTGGTAGCTTCAATGTACTAGCCTACTTTTACGTAGCTTTAGAGCCTTTTTGGGCCATCAGTGTTGTTGCTACCTTTACAAACCGCACTAGAAACCTTACTACACATACATCGGATTTGTTTGTTAAATTTCACTCTGTTATCTGCCATTCTTGAGTGTTTACGCTAAGCTTATTATTATGTCTGTATCAAACGCAGTGGCACTTTTCAGCATAAAGTAACCGCGAAACACTAGCAACGATGATGTTTTCGAAACTCATTCTCATGGTACAAGTTCATGTTTTAACTCGCTAGTCTTCGTAATTGATTGTGACATTTTCAGGCACCGCTTGTCTTCTTCGTGCAGGCTTTGAATAGGGCAAACAGACCCCCTCCTATCAGGATTCCTCCACCTGGTGCATTTTTCCCTCCGCCGGAACAGATCAATCCATGGATTGTAGAACAGGATCCATTTGCTGCACCGTATCACTTCCCTCGACCACCACTTACGACAAGAACTTGGTGGGGACGTGCTCGCTAAGCTTGAAAATTGCTTCTGCAATTTGCCGTTTTTATATTAATGTGAAAATGCATTAATAAACTTAAATTGTCTTTCCGTGTAACTGCTCTCTATCTTCTAAAAGCGCACATGGGAAGCTTTACATATGCAACCGGTGTAACCTACTATCTAACAATTGAAAAAAACACATGGAAACTCGTTGTGATAATAGTCATACGGTCACAGTCATTACACAACGCTGGTGAGACATCCTCCATATCATCATTGATTTGCCAAAAATCTTGAAAGAATACAGGTCAGAAAGCGAGTGAAGAGCTTTCACGATAATGATTTCATCAATGCTACTTAATTAGTTTTGAGACGCTTATTCATCTAAGTGACTTTCCTCGCACTAATTGCTACAAGACATGAAAAATTCTTGTCAATTGTTCTGAATAAAGTTACGATTTGCCAAAGAGGTTTTTACATTCAAAAAAAAATCTTTGTAGTCCTCACCATCTCATGCGCAAGCCCAAATATAAATCTTGCTTTGATTCGACCCAGTACACAGAGCAAAAAGTGGCTCACATGATGTGCGACGCAAGAAGATTTTTCATAACTTTTCAAAGATCAAAATTGAATGATATCTATCGCACTGTGTATAAAATACCTCGCCTAAACTCAAAGGCACCGTCCACCTAGATTCTCAACTTCCATGTTTTGGTCGTTCCGAGGCTTTCTTATGTCCATCATTCCGATTATGAAGTTGAGAATCCGCGAAAACCCCCAACAATCCCTGTTTGGGAGAACCCACAGGCTTGCTTTTCGGACGGTTTGGATGGGCGCGCACAGGTGGGCGGGATTGGATGGAGAGGGCGGTGCCATCTGGGGGTCACCTTTGTTATTTTGGAGCGGTTTTCTCGCTTCCAAAACAACATTTTGCGCTGCGATTTGGGCACTGGCTTGATAGGGGGTCCCAGTATCAGCTGCCATAAGCTCAAACCCTCAATATAGCATGCTGATCACCCCCACGGGGGCTCGATTACCCCCTATGCCAACTCCCAGCCCCGTAGCTCAAATTTTGCAAAAAATCGATAAAATCGATATCAATCGATGACGAAAAGTAGCCTATGACACCCGCCGGGGCCCGAAGTGTATGTATGTGTGCTAAGTTTGGTCCCGATCGGTTCAGAATTGGAATTTTCTATTCGGAACATACGTACACACATACAGACAGACAGACAGACAGACAGACAGACAGAGAGACAGACAGACAGACAGACAGACAGACAGACAGACAGACAGACAGACAGACAGACAGACAGACAGACAGACAGACAGACAGACAGACAGACAGACAGACAGACAGACAGACAGACAGACAGACAGACAGACAGACAGACAGACAGACAGACAGACAGACAGACAGACAGACAGACAGACAGACAGACAGACAGACAGACAGACAGACAGACAGACAGACAGACAGACAGACAGACAGACAGACAGACAGACAGACAGACAGACAGCCAGACAGACAGACAGACAGACAGACAGACAGACAGACAGACAGACAGACAGACATACAAACAGACATTCAGCTTTATTATAAGACTAGCCGGCTTACCCTGCTCCGCTCGGCTCATATGCTTGGACAATTATTGTGTTTGAATGGGTCAGTCTTCAAAATGGAACTTTGTAATACTGCTAGAATACATACTAAGTTGTCATCTTGATAAAAAAAATAAAATTGTAACTTTATACAAAGTAGTTGACAGCAGGATTTTTTATGTATTGTAGCAATTATTAGGTTGTCCCAAAAGTAAACTCCTTTTTTGAATAATTTGAGTTGTTTTTGCTTTACTGGTAGACTTGGGGTATCATTCGAGAGAGCGGGCATGCTCTCAAAAAACCGCCAAAGACCTACCTGAGTCGTAATCCAGGCAAAATTTGGGGCCAAAAATCAAAATTTTTCAGCTACCCTAAAGATCGGATCTCCTTCCAGAAAATTCCTACGAACTTCCCACTTGGTCTTTATATAGTAGACGCATTAGTAGTATCCAAAAATGTATTTGGCGGATTTTTCTCGGGGCTCAAAGTTGAGAAAAAAATGGCCCAAAAATGCCAAAATGCCACTTTTTTCGGTTTTTTTAAATGTAAAACTTGGTATTTCTCGAATATAAGTACACATAAGGGGTAAGGTTTTGAAATTGTACTTAATAAGGCTTGTAGTATACAATGACATTTGTGAAAGGGGCTGGGGGCGGGGTTTGCCACTTTGGACAATTTTTGTTTCTCGCTTTCTATTCTCGAAAAAAATTCGGCAAACGCATATTCGAGTATTACTAAGTGACTACTGTATAATGACCAAGTTGGAGGTCCGTAGAGTTTTTCCTCGCAAAAATCCCTTTCAAGTGACAAAATTTTTTTCGATTTTAGCTTCAAACTTTACATAGAGTGTGACTTAGGCGACACTTGGTGGTCTTTTTGTAGAGCTTGATCTGCTCTATAGAATGATACCCCAAGTCTACCAGTAAAGCAAAAACAGCTTAAATTTTTCAAAAAAGGAATTTACTTTTGGGACAACCTAATAGTACTTGAAACTGATTGAGTAGCATCGATGAAATCATTATGTCGAATGTTTTTAGAGATACCCTAATTTTCAAAATATTAGGTCGTTTCAAAAGTAATTTCGCTCTTTTTAAACGGGCACCACATGTGACGGAACAAAGGTTTCTAAGAGATCTTGGAGGCATTCGATGCAGAATTTTATTCTCTTTCTAATGGTCATGAAACTGTTGCAAATCAGTCAATGAGCTTTCAAAAAATAACCAAAATCTGCGACCCATGCTTTTTGAGATGGTCAAGTTTCACAATTTTTTAAAACTTTCATATCAATCCTCAGAAGGAGTTCAAGTAAAGATTCGATAGAGTAAACCTTACAGAATACAGTACTACTTTTTTCTCCTTTCCGTAGCTTGTCATACATTTTTAACAGAATTTTAACTGATGTTACCGATTTCCATACTTGGGCAGCTAAATCCTCGTAGAACAGCAAAAGAAGAGCAGCTCGCGCAGCATTTTATTCGATGCAGCATTTTTTCCTCTTTCTGACAGATGTTTCTTGTTTCCGATTCGTTTAGTTTCCGGGGATAAAATCATCATAACTCATTTTTTTGGCGAGCCCCAGGCTGTACCCGAAAAACTCGAAACTTGATATTTCGAACCCGTAAGCCCTCACTTGCTTTGTAAACTTAATGCTAACTCATAGTAACATCTTGGTAGTCTCAAATTCCGAAAAATTATGATGTTTGATGTGATTGTGGCTGAGGAGGGCCTGCCAAAATCCGATGGTTCTGTTAAAAAATCTTTTAATAAATTACGGCGAGCTGGGAGAAAGAGAAAAAAGTAGTAATATATTCTATGAGGTTTACTCTATCGAATCGTTACTTGAACTCCTTCTGAGGATTGGCGTGAAAGTTTTAAAAAATCGTGAAATTTGACGACCTCAAAAAGCATGGGTCGTAGATTTTGGTTATTTTCTGAATGCTCATCGACTATTTTGCAACAGTTTTATAACCATTAGAAAGAGAATGAAATGCTGCATCGAATGCTTCCAAGATCTCTTAGAAACCTTTGTTCCGTCACATGTGGTGTCCGTTTGAAAAGAGCGAAATTACTTTTGAACAACCTAATACATTCTCCGCTTTTCGTTTCTTTTCGAAAAAAAAAACTTTCCATACGGCATTTCTCAGGAATATATTGTTTAACCGTTGACAACCCTCTTATCTCACTTTTGCAGACCTTCGAGCACAGTTTTGGTAGGATTGGCTTCAACTTACGTTTTGACATATGACAAATCATCAGGCTTTCGTTACTGTTGGATTACGAGACAGACTTTGAATTATGGACAAAATTTTTCAAAAAGGGGAAAAAATCTTAAAAAGGAGAAGTAAATCAGAGCACTTAATTATGGTACTTTCAACAATTACGCTAGGTGTTCTGTCAACTGTATTCTCGATGTTCGAGTTTTAAAAACACCAAAGTCATAAAAACTCTTGACGTAACTTTTGACTCTTTTCTTTGTTATTTTTCTATCTACAGGCTATCTAAGGCTGGAAAGAAAAGAATGCCGCTTTTTTGTTTTTTTTTGGCTGATTTGATATCACAAGAACAGGAGTACGAGGGCGAGATTTTATGGCTAAAGATCCAAAGTTCCGTAGCACACAATTGCATATATTCGAATAACTTAGGGACCGCTGAGGGAGGGTCTGCCATTTTTTGTTTTCAATTTTTTTGATTTTTCACCATGAAGGAAATTTGGGAAGGTGTATATAGCTGAGTGCATCTATCTGTTGTACGCATAAGCAATCGAGAATTTTCTAAAATGTTTTCGAACGAGAGTTCGATTTTTGGCGCCACGATTTTTTTTGTGGATTTTGTTTCAAACTTTCGTAGATCACGGCTAATTTCTAAAGGAATTGTGGAGCTTGCTTCGCTCTATCGATAGGGGTCTTTCATATACTTTTTCAAGTTTCTTCGTTCCCTTGTCATAAAAAACGACATTGTTTTCCTTCCAACCTAATAGTTCTCTCTTTTAACGTTTTGATTTTTGGGTGAAAGCTTACTCAGTCGAACGTAAAAAATATGCCTTGTGCTTCCGAACTTTCTCAAGCTTTTTTTTGCAATCAAAGATAAATGATCTCTGAAGCTGAGCGTAAAAACATATCATTCATTCCATGACTAGGAGACGCGAGACCGCATTGCACACATTGTTTAAACAAGCTTAATCGTGTACTTAGCAAGTTTATACTTGTCATTTATCTCTTCAGCTTTATTTACCCTTTGGAAACAGGTAAGGACTAACTCAAACATGTTAAGACAATGCCCGCAATGCGGTCACGCGTCTCCTAGTCATAGAATAGATGATACCAGCACAGCGTGGCACGATTGAAAGAATGTTAGTAAACTACGTGAGCTTTTAATGCGCTTGCGAAAACTTAGTTTCATATCCTCCCCTTCGTCGGGTGTGTATTCGCCGA